AGATAACCATAAATCAGGAAATGCAGAATCCAAATAGAGAGAAAAATGATATAACTAAAGGTCACCAAAGCTCATGGATGAAAGTAAAAAAGTTTAAGATGAAAAAGGAAAGTCTTATCTTGCACAAAGAGATAAATTTTGTTTGAAGGTTCAAGATGACATTTATATAGTAAAACATGATGATTAAATCAAAGGTCCAAGGGGAAAGAAAATGGTAAGATGAAAAACAATGGTTAAGATTTGCCTAAAAAATACAAATGACACTTTGGTGCACTCAAGCATCATAGAGGAAAACACCACACTCTAGCCTATAAACCCAGAGCCACTTGTTAGAAAGGTCATGTGAAACATTTCAATGACGAGCCTAACATTTAATTCACCCATCTCTTAACCTCCTTGTGTCATCTCCAAGGAATTTCCCATTTCCTGTGTAATGAAGCTAACCTGGTTTTCAGCAAAGACACCTCGTTCCCTATGACAAGCCTTGTGTATAACTGTTCTAGGCTGTCCGTAAAACTCAATAAAGGAAGGAACCCATTGACACTCTTAAACCATCCAACCCAGGTCATAAAGGTTCAAGGAAGCCAAGTTCTAAAGGATACCTACCGTTTGATATAATTGGGCAGTTTCCCTCGACCCTCGTGGAAAAATAAAGGATTTCTCCAAGCATCCATCCTATATACACATCACCACGCGTGAAACTTAAAGTATGATATTCACCAGAATTCACTCTACCTCTTTTTGGACTCATTAATTGACTTGGACATTGGAGTGCTAATCTTGTAGATCCACCCTCAGACTATCGCATTAGAGACATTCACCACAATACTGAGAGTCCACCTAACTATAACAAAAATGATTATTTGTCCATGAAAATATAAAGTTTTTGAAATAAGTTTGCTGATACATAGAAATTGAATTGGAGAAAAAAGATTGTTTGTATTGGTCTGGTTTATGTTAATACATAATTTGTTTAATCTAGATTTTTTTTTTTGAAAATTTCTTGATTTTTGGATGAAGGTTGACAAAGATGAAGAAGATGGTAAAATATGAAGAAACGTATAAAAAAATTAGATGTTGATGGTTCACATTTAGGTTTAATAGATCTCCAAAATCCGATATTGTCCTATTTATGAAAAAATTCGAATGGTTAAATATTTTTTTTATAAATTTAATGAAGTCTTTCACCAACAACATTGATACCTTATACTTTTAGAGTTCAAAGTTGATGAAAATGACTAATTGACTAACAAATTCAGATTCAAGAAACCGAGTAATTGAGTTTGTTAAATAAATAACCAATATAAAAATAATGATTAATTAAATGATTGACAAGACTAATTAAACCTTACTTATGTCATGGGTATCTTTAAAAGGAACATTCTTTCAAACATTCACTAAATGAATCAAATTCAAACATAGTGAAATTAAATTTGCATTGGAATCTACCATGCGCTTCTCAATTTTATTTTAGAGCGGTTTCAAAAGGCTATCAATCACGATTACGAGTTAAAAGCAGATGTCACATCATATTTTGTTAGTAGAAGTTATAAAAATTATTAGAAATTTACACACGCACACACACACACACACAATTGTGAATAGTAAAGTTCAAACTCTAATGATAATATTCAACGTAACAATATCGTTTCTGTCAATCGAGATAAGATTTGCATATCATCCCAAATTCTTTCTTTCTATGCAATTATAACACATATAAACGTAAATCCACAATAAATACATGTTTAATATATAGTCAAGTATTTAAAACATTGTGATATCATCTCAAGAGTCTAAATCTATATTGTTTCAAACACACTAAACATGTGTTTGGCTTGGCGTCAACTTTTTCATATTAACTCAAAAATCACGTTAAATTTTCACGTTTATGAAGAAGTTCCATTTCGTAGCTTCTGAGAAATCACATCTATAATAAATCTAGACGTGAGTTTGAAGGTTTAAACGTCAAACCAAACATTCTTTAAATTGACTTAAACATGACACACTTAAATTAAACTCGCACTTAGATCCACCATACTCTTTGAATTTAGTTGGATAAATACTCATCATTCATCCAATCAAAAAATGATATTCATAATTTCCACAATAATGAAAGAATCCAATCACTTAATTAAAGCACCATGAAACCATTATTACAAAGAAAAATTAGATTAATTAATGAAATGACATAGTCACCAAGCAACATAATATAACATGTATATCAGTAGTTTAAAAAGGTGTAATTTTATCTGAAGCATGACACCGAGAAAGAAGTTAAAGAAGCGAAAAAGCCAAGATTAAGATTAAATGAATTCAAAGCATTGAGTGACTTTGGCGGTTGGTTAGGGTTTAATTTTAGAGAGAGAAAGAGAAAGTGAAAAATGAATAAACAAAAGTGATTCCATTTCTCTCTTACGTCTATCCACTAGTAACTATGCCTTTCGTTTCCCTCGGTCCTCGTGAAAAAAAGAAAGAATTTCTCCAACCACCCATCATATATATACATCGCCGCACGTGAAACCATATGTATGATTTTCACCATAATTGACTATATCTCTTTTTAGACTCATGTATTGACTTAGACATTGGAGTGTCAATCTTGTAAGTCCACCTCTGTATTATCGCATCATAGACCTTCACCACCATGCTGAGAGTCCACCTAATCAATTCATCAACAATTTTGGTTTTTGAGCGAAACAAAAATGATTATTTGTCAATGAAAATTGAAAGCTTTTGAATAAATTTGCTTATTATAAAAATTAAATTAGAGAGAAAAGAGTGTTTGTATTGACATGATTTATGTTAATGCATACTTTGTTTAATCTATATTTTTTATTTATTTAATTTTAATTTTCTTGATTTTTGGATGAAGGTTGACAAAGATGATGATGGAGATGAAGAAAAAGATGGTAAAAGATGAAGACAAATGTTAAAGTAATCAGATGTTGATGGTTCACCGTTAGATTTAATAGATTTTTAAGATCCAATATTGCTTTATTTATAAAAAAAGATTGAGTGGTTAAAAAAAAGAGGTCTTTCACTAACAACGTTTGTACCTTAAACTTTTAGAGTTAAAAATTGACAGAAAAGACTAATTGAGTAACGAAATCAGATTTAAGAGATCAAATAATTGTGTTTGTTATAAAAAACCAGGATAAAAATAATGTAAATTAAGGGATTAACAATATTAAATCAATCTAACTTATTTCATATGTGATTGTATCTTTAAAAGAAACACAATTTCAAACATTCCCTAATTGAATAATTCAAACACGTTGAAATAAAATTAGAATTGGGATCCATCACACGTTTCTCAATTTTATTTCAGAGCGGTTCCAAAAGGCTATCAATAAGAATTACGAGTTAAAATCAGATGTCACATCTTTTATTTTTTTGTTAGCAGAAGTGATAATAATTATTAGAAACTCACATACATAATCGTGAACAGCATAATTCGAATTCTGATAATAACGTTCAATATAACAATATCGTTTCTCTCAGTCGAGATAAGATTTGCAGACCATCCCACATTCTTTCTTTCTATGCGATCATAAACACATACAAAGATAAACTCACAATAAATACATGTTTAATGTATACTCAAGCATTTAAAACACCGTAATAACATCTCAAGAGTTTAAAACTATACAATTTCAAACACACTAAACATGTGTTTGATTTAGCGTTTGTTTTTCATATTAACTCAAAAATCACATTTTTGTAGCTTCGCAGAAATTACATCTACAATAAAACTACACGTGAGTTTAGAAATTTAAACATCAACCCAGACATTCATTAAATCGACTTACACATAATACATTTAAATTAAACTTGTATTTAGATCCACAATATCCTTTAAATATATTTAGATAGATACTCATGATCCAATCCAATCAAAGAATGATATTCATAATTTCCACGATAATGAAATGATCCAATCACTTAATTAAAGCACAATGAAACCGTTATTGCAAACAAACTGAGATTAAGAGTGAGTAAGCAGCATGCGACAATAGCGTGTATATCGGTTGTTTAAAAAGGTGTAGCTTTACACGACACCGAGAAAGAAGTCAAAGCAGCGAAAACCCCAAGATTAGGATTAAATGAATCCAGAGCGTTGTGGGGTTTTGGCGGTTGGTTAGGGTTTAATTTTAGAGAGAGAAAGCTGAATAAACAAAAGTGATTCCATTTCTCTCTTACGTCTATCCACCACCAACAACTGCGTTTTTCGTTTCCTTCCCTCTGCATTTCGTCTCCGCGCACTGTGTTGTCGGTCACGCTTCATGGTACAGTTTTCCTTTTCCAATTTCTTCCGTTTGTTGATTTGCTTTCTCAATTGGGGATTAGGGTTTTTGTTGCTATGGTTTCATTTCATTGTGTTCAAATCGGATGAGTTCTTTCGATTTTTATTGTTGGGTTTAGTTGGATTTTGCTTACTCAGATTTCCTGTGCTGCTGCCTATGTATTTTGCTGGGATTAGGTTTTTTTTTTGAAGTGTTTGGGTCTGGTTTAGTTGATCTGTTACTGTTTGATTTGACGGTTGAGGAAATGAGAGATCTTGGTTGTAGGGATCCGTTATCTTTACTTGTGAAATATAACAGTTAGATAAGCTGTTTTGGGAACTCTTGTGTGCCAAGGAATCTAGTGTTTTTACTCGGTTGGATTTTCTGAGGCTGTTTTTTTAATGTATGAGCAATTGGGTGTGCTTAAGTTTCTCTATTTTTTTTCAGCCTAATGAACTTTAGTTTGTGAATATTGCTTTTGCTTGTATTGGCATACTGATAACTAGTTCTTCCGTGTCTTATTGTTCCATTTCGTGTTTTTGCCGAAACAGTCAATGTATGTTAACTGATAAATATGATCACCCGATGAGCTTTTAGGTTTTTGTTAATTGTTAGTGTGTTGTTTATGTAGCTTGCTGCATTGAAGATCTATATCTGCTTCTGAAGTCTACCAAGAGTGACAAAGCACTTGCTGTTGTTTAGCTTAGAGCTGCAGGGATGGATAGGTGGGGTGTTCATCATCGACAGCCATTCATTGGTTGGCATGGGAGAAATGAGAGTTCTTTTCGTGATGTTACTACCAAGGATGAGGAATCAGACAATGACGAAGAAGAAGTCATTATTAAAAATGAGCCTGTCTTTTTTCCTGAATTTAGGAAAAGGAAGCGCCTCAGCCTCAGTCAGCTTAGAGAGGTGAAAGAGGAGTCGTGTGAGAAGCTTAGTCAGCTTAGAGAGGTGAAAGAGGAGTCTTGTGGGAAGATTAGTCAGCTTAGAGAGGTGAAAGAAGAGTATTATGGGATGGAAAGCAGTAGCAAGAATAAGAGAAAGAAGCATGATAATAAGGAAAGATGGTCAAGCGAGAGGTGAAACAAATATATATAAAATAATTTTACCGTTGCCTTATTTATTTCTACCGTATCGCCATAAGTAATTGTATATGAGGTAATCATCTAATCTAATGTAGGTACAAGTTGGCTGAGCAAAGCATGTGGGAGGTGTTGAAGGCAGAGGGCGCGACTTTTGAAAGCCCAATAACCCGATCTGCACTAAGATTGTCTGCGCGTAAATTCATTGGTGATACTGGACTTCTAGACCATTTGTTGAAGCACATTGATGGTAAAGTGGCACCTGGAGGGACTGATCGGTTCCGAAGATGGTTCAACACCGACGGAGTCATGGAGTATTGGTTGGAGAGTGCTGATTTGGATGGTGTCCGGCAGGAGGCTGGGGTACATGACCCCTACTGGATACCTCCATCCTCTGTTAGGGCAATCCCTGCCCCTTGCCAGAATTCTGATTCTTCCGATGAGTTGAAACAACTTAAATTGGAAATGGCCCAAATGAAGAAGTATTGAACTTGGAAACTGAATTTCAAAATATATTTTATGGTTGCTATTATATTTTCCTAATGACTTTATTTGCATAACAGAGATATGCAGGAGCTTGTTGCTGAGAAGAAAAAGAAAAATGAAAGTAACATGATGAAGGTGAAATTTAAATGCTTTAATAATTTAATGTTCGTGCTATCTCCTAAAACACTTTATGGTTGTCTTATGTTGAGTTTCAATGGCAGGAGACTTTCAAAGAACTTGTAAAGTGGAAAGCTATAACTGACCATCGCCTAACTGAAATCATGGCTTCTTTGAAGAATTTGCAGGTATCTAGGCAGTATTGTTAATGTTGCTACTCTGTAGTCCTTCAAGATTTAATGGGATTCATGTCATGCTAAAACACTTTCCTTTTATGTGTTTACTTATGGCATATCTGGCTTTACTATAGTTCTGTATATTGGCAGGGCAAGCATGGTGAAATGGTGACTTGGAAAACTGAAGTGGAGCAACATCTTATGGACATAACAAATAAATTGAATGAACTTCAAGCACCAAGAGAATGCACTACTTTTAGCCCTCCTTCAGAGAAATGGAAAGATTGGTTAGAAGCCACTAACCCATGCAATACTCAGGAGGATGCATTGGCAACTTGGATCGGGAGCTCAGAGCTACTTAATGTTCCACAAGAGTGTTTACTTGAATATCCCTACACAGGCATGCCAACTCAGCCATTCAATGAAGAACCCACTAACAATAAGAGGTAATATATACTCAGTCAAATTCTTTAGCCTAACCGCCAAATTGGCACACACCTCCTTTGAAGTGGAAAAAAGTTGATATTGTTTGTGTTCATCATTTTCTATTTCCTTTGAAATCATAGTGATGCGGAGGAGCTAATGCCCACAATGCAAGATGATCAACCCAATGTCACCCCAGATTCTTCTACAACAGTTAATTCAAAGGCTGACATCGACAACTCATTGATAATGTTTCAGGTGATGGTGATAGAGTGTATACATGACACTTATTCCAAATCTTTTTTTTCTCTTCAATGTATTCATGATTCACTATTTTTGTGCAGGAGATGTTTATGGATTTATTCAAATGGAAAGAAAAAATGGAGCAGCAGCTGCTGGATGTATCAAACACTGTATATGGCATGCTAGCGATGAAGTAGACTTTGCTTTGAGGTACCAGGCCTTAGGATAGGATTATAACCCCAGCTTCTCTTCAAAAGTTTTTCTTTACTCTTTAAAATGGTAGAGTTTAGATATCGTACAGCATTAACAATCTGATACTGAAAATCTTTGCCAACCACTAAGTTCATGGAAGAGGTTGAACCTTGCCTACTTGTCGAGCTGCGATTTGTTGATATGTTTGACTGGCCTTTTATAGAGTATAGTTTGTTCTAATTTGAGAGGCAGGTCTTCGGTGGGTCTGAAATTGGTTGTATTATTGACTTGTTGGTTAAGATTAACAGTTCCTTTTAGTACAGGTCTTTAGGTAGGCTTTACTCGGAATTTACATATTAGCTAAAATTATTTGGGGAACAAGTTGCCATGTTATATATAGAATTTCTGCAGTATCAAATAGCATCTGGTGGATGTTTGTTTATCTGTGTGAATTACAAAATGTAGTTTGTTTAAACTCGTCTAGTGTAATTGGACGAATTTCCTATGGCAATGATGATGACTTTGTGGGTGGAGGTGGATTAGACTGGTGAAGAAACTTGTATAGACGAATTACAAACGTTTGTCCAGATTTTTAATCAAAAATAATTTGCCTTCAAATTTTTAAATTAAAACTTTTGGTTAGTAACGGTCAAGTAAGGATTTGAATTTTGGGTGGTGAATGGGTCACAAAATTTCCCAACAAATCTGGTATTTGTGAATTGTGATTGACCTTGATAAACAAGGAATTACTGTTATATATCAATAATCTCTATTTTGGCTTGCCTTTTTATTTTTTGACGTGAGAAAACTTTATGTAATTTTATTTAGGGTTAAACATTTATGGTTTGAAAAAATATTTGAAATTTTGTTTCTTAAGATTCTTGACTAATTTTGGTTCACCTTCATGATGTACAATATTTATGGTTCACCTTTTTTTTTTAACACGATAGTGGAACAATCAATATGAATTATGGGGATCTTTGAAGGGCTCAAGCTTATTGTTGAGAGTGGTTTCGAGAAGGTTGAAGTAAATACTTGATCATATTTGATTAAAAGGAATCGTCATTAGTCCACGAGTTTGAGTTAAACGACAGTTGTTGAGAGTGAAGTGGAGGGGGTGTACCTGTAAGATATTCTGATGTCAAAGTAAGAATGAGAATAATATAAGAGTGTAAGCTATAGTAAGAGTGAATGAATGAATATCTGACCCTCTCAAGTGAGAGAGTATTTATAGCTCATAGCGTTGGATCAAGGTCTCTATGTTGGGCTGATTAAGCAGGTCCAAAATGGAGACAGTTAGGACCTACATGTGTAGTGGAGACCAGCATGTAGTTTCCATCTTGAATGAACTCTTCCGAATTGCCAGGGAGACGTGATGCAGTCTTTTCGGGGTCAAGAAGACTCCATGATATTCAAAAGCGTTGGGTGTCTGCCTTACGAGGAGGGTGCTTGCGAGGACCTCTTGGGTGCCGCTGATCCTCCTCGACAATCACGTGGAGAAGATGTCTTTGGAAGACATATGTTCGGCGTGAGGAGTGAAATCACTGTCCGACATTGTCAAGGGCAGATTCATTCCTACTGGTCTTCTCCTGTAGCATAATTGAATTGAGATTTGTATGATGTTTGGGTCAAGTGCGAGCCCAGTCCAGAACAAGAGCCTCCGAAGTCGTTGCTCTTAAGGAGAGTAGCTATGTCTTAAGACCAACTTGCCGGTCTGACGAGTGTAGCTCGTCGAGGTCCCTTACTCCGTCGAGCGGAGGGGTCGTCCCTATATGGTAGTTGTTCGGATAGAAGCTGAAGCGTGTTCGCGGGGAGAGTCCATGTGCTCCTCGACTAGCAGGGAGATGGAAAGTTTGTAGGAAAGTTTGGGTCAAGTGCGAGCCCAGTCCAGAACAAGAGCCTCCGAAGTCGTTGCTCTTAAGGAGAGTAGCTATGACTTAAGACCAACTTGCCGGTCTGACGAGTGTAGCTCGTCGAGGTCCCTTACTCCGTCGAGCGGAGGGGTCGTCCCTATATGGTAGTTGTTCGGATAGAAGCTGAAGCGTGTTTGCGGGGAGAGTCCATGTGCTCCTCGACTAGCAGGGAGATGGAAAGTTTGTAGGACAATTACTTCGCGGGCCACGTGGTGTAGCCTTTAGAGTAGAATGATGGCCTAGAGAGTAGGGGTCATTATGATTCTGAACGCGTGGGCAACGGAGAAACGAATAGTTGACACGTTATTCGATGCGAGACTTCGTCTTCCACACAAGTTTTATAAATAACGTTCAAGGGTTCATTTGTAATGTTTTCAAGTTCTTGTTTCCTCCTTTCTCCTCACTGCCATCAGTTTTCTTCTCAGCTGTGAGCACCACCGCATCTTCCGCCGTCGAATCCACACCAACATTTATCAAGTAAGTGTTCCTCTGCGATTACATTCGTCTATAGATGGTTTTTGTATTTAATGGAAATTTTCAGAGGGCCTCCCCGCGGAACTCATGGAATTTTAGAGTGAATTTCACTATCTGGGAGATTTTACCTCAGGACATTCATACTCCTTCTCGCGAGATTCATCAGCTTTGATGGATCATATGTCCTGTGGGGGTGAAATCCCTGCGAAATCCACCAGTTTGTTCGTGGAGCTCATCCGTTCCTCGCAGAACTCATGAGATTGCTCCCAGAATTCATCCTCTCCTCGCAGAACTCATGAGTTTGCTCGTGGAACTTATACCCTCCTCGTAAAACTCATGAGTTTGCTTGGGAAATTCATCTTCTCCTCGCAAAACTCATGATATTGCTCGCTTCTCGCTGAACGAGGGTTTGTCGATGCGGTTTGGTCGTAGCGACCCCCTTTCACTTGTTTTGCGATGGACGAATGGATTTGATTTGTCTGTCGAATTCACTGGTTCCCTCTGCTTTATAAGTGAAATGGTTGAACCAGTCGAGGTGGCCGCTACAGAAGAGCAGGTCGAGATAGAGGAGGCGAGTGGAGTCGATGAGGTTCACCATTTGGTTGAAACTATCGCTGATGAGTCATTGTCCTGGGTCGGGCCAGAGCCCTGAGGAATAGCCTCGGTCTTCAGTAATGCTCAGAGGGAAGCGTACACGATCGTCGAATATGGCGGTAACCAAGAAGGTTTCAGACGAAACATCATGATCTTTCGCCCGTCCACTACGACCATAATATGTTCGTGTTTCCCAGAGGACCATTTCTCCAATGTACGAAGTCGTCTTCAAAGATTTGGGGCTTTGTCTTCCCTTTAGCGACATTCAAATGGGTGTTTCTAATCATTTATCTCTGGTGCCTTCCCAACTGTACCCCAACGCGATCGCTTTCATACGGGCATTTGAGATCGTTTGTCGGTATCTTCGAATTGGAGCGACGATTCCCCTGTTCTTCAGAATTTTCCACCTTTAACGATAGTCTCCAGGAGGAAGGCATAATTGGGTCTCTTTTAAGCAATCCAAGAGATTTTTCAGGATGTACATGGATTTTGTCCGCGACTTCAAGGACAAATGGTATATCATATAACCTGTGTCTCAAGGTCGTGGATGCAGTGTTCGACCCATCTACTGTCATCGATGAAGACGGGGAGGTTTGTTACGACGAGGATGGGAACGAGGAGATCAGGATGCTCTCTAAATTTCCTATCCACTGGTGTCTGGCACATTATGATCATGGGCCTAGCCATTACCATACTTCTATCGGTAGCCTGGGTAGCGAGGATGAGGGGGGCCTTCAACATTCTTAACAAATTCGCGGACAGTTTCTTCCCATCCAGGTGGGTGACGCAGGAGGGAGATGACATTCTTGGCGATGATGGTGAACCTACGCTTGAGGTTCGCCCGATCAATACCAAGCTGCTCGTTGAATGTCGTATTTACGGGGGCGCCACAACTCTTTTGGGTCTCTGCCCGCACAATCCTTTTGCTCTTTGTTTCTAATCTGTTCGCATACGCCCTCCTAGCGGTACTAACTCAAGCATGTTGTTTTTGTTTTTGCAGGTAAAATGGTATAGCGTCGTGAATGTTTGTTAAAATTGGCCCACGATAAAGAGAGCAGTAAGAGGATAGCGAAGCCCACTCAACCTACTCGCGTCGACCCCATTCTCGAGCGGGCCACTAATAGGTCTAGCGCTTCGTCGGGATCTCATGACACCGGTTAGTCGGCAGCCATGTCGAGGAGAAAGAGGGGTCGCCCTGAAAATAATCCTGTGGATTTGATTGAGGACAAACTGTGTGCTCGGACCTTTAACCTTCCTCCTTGCTTTGTTGAGAAGGATTTTTTTGAAGGATTCCCCCTGGCCGTGTCTAACGAGGAGTCCGCCATTATCAGGCGGCTCGATGAGAAGGGCAGAAGAAAACACTTGGCGTCGGGCATGGTTGGTTTAATGAAGGTCGCTGAGATGGTCCTGGCCCTTTCGGGCGAGAGGGCCAATTCCTCTGCCGTGGTGAGTAAGCTGGAGTAAAAAAACCCCGCTCTCATGGAGAAGGAGAAGAAGATGAAGGCTGCTCTAGAGAAGAGCGAGGAAAAGTTGCGGGTGCAGGCTGATGAGCTAACAAAGGAGAAGGAGGGAGCGACCAAAGTTTATGAGGAGAGGGATTCATTGCTGCTCGAGAAGAAAAATCTGGAGAAGGAAGTCACCGATTTGAAGGCCGTCGTGCTGCCCGCAGAAGATAAGTCTGATGGGATCGCCAGCTTGAAGACTCGTGCAAAACTGGTCGCTCAAATTCAGGTCTTTGAGTCATACTGCATGGATGTGGTGTCCGATGGCTGAGACCGCACTGGCTCAGCTGGTCGTGCTGAATCTGGAGCTCAATATTGAAGGTGTCGGGGTTTTATCTTAGGTGGTTGATTGTAAAGTAGTCTCTCCTCTCAATCATCTCAATCCAGACATCGAAGAGGGTACTCTGAGAATTGATTGATGTTTTCTTGGCATTGTTTGTTTTGTTCGGGCTTGCGTGCCCGTAATTTTGTAATCATTGGACTGGGGCCCGTGTGCTCGTATTTTTGCAAAACTTGGACAAA